GATGTCAAAAATGATATGCTCGGACGCTGCAGATCTGGAATTGTTTGGGGCTTTTTGCGCGGCAACACAATGTCAACATTTTTTGGTCCCGTTTCAGGACAAAAACAAACGTTGAAATACAGGGCTCCCATGGGATGGGAATTCCATTTTCTGAACAGCTCTGGTCGTAACATATCCCCTTTTCAGCTCAACCCTACAGCTTTAGTCCTCTAACAAGCACGGGATGTGAAAATATAATTAGTTAGCTGAGAGATTGCAACTGGGACCACTGTGGTTCTTGCCTGGGACAAGACCTGAGTTCTGCTACCGTCTCACTCAGTGGTTGTGGGCACCTCAGTTTACCCATCCATAGAATTGGATAATGATACTCACCCTTCATTTAGCACTTTGAGCTCTACAATGTAAAGGGAGAAGTTTTGCTGGAATATCTGGGTGAGGTTCTTTGGCAGGTGTTTTGCAGGAGCTCGGATGAGATGGGGGGAGGGATAGCTCAGTGGTTTGAGCATTGGGTTGTGAGTTCAATCCTTGAGCGGGTCATTTAGGGATCTGGGGCAAAAATTTGTCAGGGACAGTACTTGGTCCTACTGTGAAGGCAGGGGCCTGGACTCGATGACCTTTCAAGGTCCCTTCCAGATCTATGAGATAGGTATATCTCCATATATAGATCACATTGGTTCCTTCTGCCAGAGAACTGATGAACTTCTTGCCTCATTGAAGTCAACGGGAGTTTTACCATTGACTTCAATGAAGCCACGATTTCACCCAGAGCATTAGCTATGAACACAAGCAGACTGGGGAAGGACTGTACATGAAAAAGAAAGACAAACCTACCCTCTAGGAGTAGGCACTGTACGAAGGGAGCTGTTCTCTGTGTGCGCTTGTGAGAATGACGGGGGACATAACGCAGAGCCCAGATTTAGGGAGAGTGACTAGGAAAAAGACACAAGCCAAAAATGAATAGTGCTTCAACTTTATGTGCGTCAGCTACTTTTCAGGTGAGTTCCTCAGAACATGACCGCCTAGAGAGGAGTCTAATATTGCAGCATAAGAAAAATGGCCCTTCTGAGTGAATTTCTTCATCACTCAGTCTCCTCTCCAGTCACTGTCACTCCAACGAACCTGTCGATTAACTGAAAACTGCTCTGGTTCTTGCAGCAGCTCCCCTTCCCAGCCTGTTTGTAGCTTAATTTCTGTTATTTTCACCGTCTCTGGCTTTTTCCTAGTCCAAAAATCAATAAGTACATAAATGAAGGCAGAATTCTGATTCTAAGGGAAAGGAGCCAGCCCTAAATCCAGGGCAACCTTTCACTGCACAGAAATAAGCTTCCAAGGGGGATTGGAGTCACGGTTTATCGAAGGTCTTTTTAGTGTGGTCCCCATCTTTTGCATCATTTCAAAGAGAGAGACTCAAATTGGCCTACACGCTCAGAGCGTAACGTCCAGGTGAACTAGAGCGTATGTTTTAGGAGGACATCCAGCTTTGATGTAAAGGCTTCAAAAGATGGAGAATCCACCTTGTCCTGGTCTCAATGGTTAATTGTCCTCACTGTTAGGAATTTGGGCTTTGCTTTGAGTCTAGATTTGCCTAGTGTCAGCTTCCAACCACTGGATCTCATTATTCCTTTGTCTGCTAGATTAAATCTTTCCCTAGATGCGGTGAAAAAAATGCGGGTGATGCATAACGCCACGTCTACTCACTCAAGACTAGCCACTCAAGAGAGGCTTTTAGGACGCAAACCTTCCAATGGATCTGTGTAAACATATGAGGGACTCTACACAGGGTTTCTGATTTTCCCATGGGCTTCTCAGATTGTATTTCTGTACAGCCATCTGATAGCAATGGAACAACTACTTTCAGCACTGATTGCACTATTATCTCATTCGCTGGAGACATGAAATGATCCAGGTGATTAGTTCACACACACACACACACACACACACACACACACACACACACACACACGCACACACACACACACGTACTTCCCTCAGGCTTTTGAGCAGAGGTGTCTCAGTTTTGAATTTCATTATTACTATTATTAGAGCCGGGCAAAAGATTTGCAGCAAAAGGTTTCTTCCCCCCCTCCCTTCCCATCAAAACATGTCAATTTTGTGGCTGGTAAAACAATTTGGAAATTGCAGTAATTGTATGAAATGTCAACATTTCCTGACAAAATGTCACATGAACATTTTGGGGTTTTTTAATCACTTGTAGGATAAGGGTGAACTTTTTGCAGCAAATTTGCACATCTCTCTCTGGATTTTTTACTGCCATCCATCATCATAGTATCAGCGCAAAATTGATAGCAATAGCGAAGTCTCTAGTGGATTTCATGGCGTCTCTGGCAGTTCTCTCTTTTTGGAGCAAAAACTCCAGTTGGAGGAGGGGTTTAATTTTCTAGGTTGACTTCTTTCAGGCTGGGTTGCATGGTTGTGATTGGTCGTGTAAATCATGTGACATTGGTTCTGGTTCTCTGACTGGTTGAACTCACTTGGGTGGTCAACAGAGTTAGCAGAAGCCATACTGGCTCATTGGCTCAGGGGCCCTGGTTGAGCCACTCAGAACATCTCTGTTCCACTCTGTTGCCACGTAGGAGGGACTCTTAGTTCTCCCAAGCCCTGCAAAGACTGCCCAGGACTTGAGCAACACAGAGGCCATGCCTGGTTTGCCTCTGAAGACACTGGAGAACAGTCCATCTACTCTACATAGACAAAGGACGGTAGGAAGCCACCAGCCTTTGCCCAGAGAGGCCCCACCTGGGAGGAACTGATTGGAGGTGCTGGGAGGAAAGTATTGGTGTGGGAAGGGAGCTATGGGGCATGGTGTGATCCATCAGAGGTGAGTACACTGTATGTTAGTTCAGATAACCATCTAAACCAGGACTCTAGTGAGGGAGATTTAGGTCAGATATTAGGAAAAACTTTCTAACTATGGAACGGGCTTCCAAGGGAGGTTTTGAAATCCCGCCTTTGGAGGTTTTAAAGAACAGCTTGGACAAACATCTGTCAAGGATGCTCTAGTTTGCAGTGTTGTTGTAGTCATGTTGGTCCCAGGATATGACAGAGACAAGGTGGGAGAGGTTGGACCAACTTCTGTTGGTGGAAGGGACTAGCTTCCAAGCTACGCAGAGCTCTTCCTCAGGTCTGGGGAAGGAAGCAAAGTGTCTGATGGTCTAGGGATGGGCGAGGTTTACTTGGTCCTGCCTCAGTGCAGAGGCGGGACTTGATGACTTCTCGAGGTCCCTTCCAGCCCTACAGTTCCATGACTCTATGAGGTGCGTTGACATGTAAATTTATTACGGTGAGTCTAGTGTATTACTGATTATTTTACACACACACATTATATACTAGGAGATCTCGAACCCACAGGCTGCTCAATTACTTCCGTTCTCATCCCTCTACCCCACTTTGTGAACTGATCATAATTTCTCAGATCAATCGGGATGGAATTCTCCTGAACTGGTCTCTGCCCAAGGGTGAGTTAAGCTTCGAAAGAATGATGGGGGAAAGGTTCAGCTATTTCTGCGATCAAAGACAGTGGAAATGTAGAGGATCATTTAAATTCTAACTCGAAACAGGCAATATTTCCCATTATTTTTGTTAAAAAAACCACCATGGAATTTAGCTACAAAACACTCTGTTAATGCAATAGAATGGTTGCCCAATTAAAAATCAGAAACTTGGGTCATTCAAGACAGAAACTTCCAACAGCTTATTAACACTTATGAACAATTATTAGCAAATGTTGGCACTTTCGACTCCTAGTTTTGCTGCTTAAAAGGAGCATCTAAATACTTCTTACTGTTCCTGTTGTACAACGTATAACCTAACACGCAGACACACAGCGTGCAAACTGCCACTGTGCTAAAAGGGATGATAGAACTTGAACCTCTGCATTTGCTGACTGTCATTTGAAGGATGCAGCCTTTACTGTGCCGTTAACGCAGCGTTTTGCATAGAGCTGGTCAAACACATTTCTGTCAATACATTTTTTGTCAAGAAAAAATCTGGCATTTTTCAACCCACATGTCCGGTTTTGTGAAAAACGTTCAGATGCTCATCGAAAAACAATCCTCCCCCCTCCCCATTAGGCAACGGAAGAACGTTCGGTTTGTAAGTGTTTGGTTTCTCAATGAAACCCTGAACATTTTCATGGGAGAAAAAGAAATGTCATTTCCTGAGCAGCTGGAATGTTGCATTTTCTGCGCCTCCGAAAAATGAAAGGCGGCTACTGCTTTATTCAGAGCAATTGTTTTTAAAGTATATTGCTTTGAAAAGAATGTTTATTTCGAAACGCAGGTGGGGAGGGCATGACATGTATTTGCCATGCCTGCTTCATCCCAGCCAAGACAGAGGGGGACCTTCCTCTCCTGCAGTTTAAGGAAACCGGTGAGCAGATGGTTTTACTAGGAAATGAAGCAAGAGAGGTGCGGAGCATCATGCCAGAGGATTTGCTTGGAGGAAAGATGGGCTGACACTCTCTCACTGCATCCGAAGAAGTGGGTTGTAGCCCACGAAAGCTTATGCTCTAATAAATTTGTTAGTCTCTAAGGTGCCACAAGTACTCCTGTTCTTTTTGCGGATACAGACTAACACGGCTGCTACTCTGAAATCTCTCACTGCTGGCTCGCTCTCTATGACACCAGAGCATGTCCTTTAAGCCCCTCTCCTTGTGGGATACTGAGATTGGGTTTTCTAATCTGCGTGAAAGGAAAGCCGTGCAGAAACTACCTCCATGTAGCTCCTCCACTTCTCTCTGCTTCCTGGCTGGAAGTTCATCTGGTATGTGCACCGATGTCTCTTTACAGGGCACTTCTATTTATAAACAAAAATACAGCCACTCTCCCCAAACTACAGTGTCACCCAGCAGAATTCCCAGCACGGCTTTGCACTTTCCCCTTCACTCCACAATCCAGGGCTAAGCCATCCCCAGGGGGCCCTATCTCTGGGGCGGGGGACAGGGCTGGCAAACCCAGCAGGAGAACTGGAGAGGCTCTTACCTGAAGGAAGATATGAGGACGTGCCCACAGCACCATCCTGGAGCTTTTAATTCCTCCCTGGCCCAGCTGTCCCAGGCATGCTCCCTTCTGCGGGTTGGGAGCAAGGCGCCGGGCTGGTTTCAGATGCTCTTGTCAAGGAGAAGGAGTTGGGAGGAAGCCAAGGTCTCCCAGCCTGCGAAGCGAGGTCTCTGGGAGCAGGCGCTGTCCCTCTGCTCCAGCCTGTGTCCTCCTTTTATAATCTCGGCTCCTGGATCGCCACCTTCCAGCTCCCCTGGTCGGATGGGGCTGGGTTACATCTCTCCTCGCCATCCTCCCACCAGCTTCTCTCCTCCTCCTCCACAGCCCTCCCCGCTCGCCTGCCCGCTCCCCCGCCCTTTGCATCAGTTACTTCCAAGCTGCCCAGCCAAGGGGCGGACCCGATTCTCTGCAGCCGGCTGCCCGGGGAGCCCGCCCGGGCCAGCGGCTCCCTACTCCCTCGCCAGTCCCTGCTCCTGCAGCAGCGGATCAGCCGGCGGATGCCGGCAGCGAGGCTGGTGCGGCAGAAGCTGAGCCCGGCGCCTCGGCTGCAGGGGGGGAGCCTGAGGCCGGGGGAGGAGGCAGGAGCCTGGGTATTTTTAACTCGCTCCTGCAGCCTCGCAGGCGCGGAGCCGGCGGGACGCCCGGCGCGGCCGGACAGGGCAATGGACCGTGCGCCCCGGGGAGAGGAGCCCGGCTGGAGCGCACCAGGCGGGCTGGGGCGCACGGCGGAGCAGGGGGGCTGCAGGACAAAGGCTGGGGGTGGGGGGGTGGGAGCGGGACAAAGGCTGGGGGTGGGGGGGGTGGGAGCGGGACAAAGGCTGGGGGTGGCGGGGTGGGAGCTGTCCCCGGGTGGGGGTGGCTCTCTGCCGCCTGCCACCAGCCAGCGGGGCTGGGATCCACGCCTGTGCCAGCAGCCGCCTCTGGTGTTTCTGGGGCGGTACTGCGCCCCGTCCTCCGGCTCTGCTGGGGGAGATGCAGCTGGGCGGGGGATTTTAGGAAAGCCCCAGCGGCCCTGGGCCTTGTCGGACTCTGCCCCCCCCCTCCCTTCCGCCCCCACTCCTAGGACGATTATCCCCCTCCACAGCCCAGTGCAGGTTCCCCCCCCCCCGCTTCTGTCTCCTTCTGTGACAGCCCTGAGCTAACCTGGCACCCCCAGATTGAATTCACAGGTGTCTTTACAGGCACATGGCCCATCTCCCCCCCAGTCCCTGTCTGACCCCGGAAACGTGAGAGCTTCAGAACAAGTCCTGCGAACTCGGACTCCAGTGAACTTTGAACCAGAATTGAAATCAGTGTAATTTATCCCCATTTTACAGCAGGGGGAAACTGAGGCACGGACCGGGGCAGTGACTTTGCCCAAGGGGACACAGCGAGTCGGTGGCAGAGCCAGGAGTAGAATCCAGGAGTCCTGGCTCTTAGCCTCCCCTGCTCTAACTGCCACTCCAGGGGAGCCTGGGAAGTGCTGTCCAACCCTGGCACCAAGAGAGAGCCCCCGGGGATGACAGCCCCCACGGTCACTTTCCCTGGGATCGCTAGGGGATCGAGTCAGGACAAAACAGCTGCCGCTTTTTTTGTTTCTTGGCGTTCCTGGACCCACAGTACAGTTTTCAATTTGTTTCCAGGATAGGAGGGATAGCTCGGGTAGAGGATTTTATTCCTGGCTGCCTAGCGTGCCTGGACGGAGTCATTTCCAGGGGAAGCTGGCAGAGGAAGGGGTTGCCTTTATAAAAGAAGGTAAAGCAGTGGTTCAAAGCATTGCAATGCAATAACATTGCTGCATTTCTGGGGGTCATAATACTCGGGCTACCTGGACGGATGCGATATTCCCTAATGGTCCTAGACCCTGTCGCTTGCTGAGGTGTTACTGAAGTGTTCAGGGCTGTTATATTGTAGCATTTTTCCTATGGGTCACTCTCCGTTAATGGGACCCGGGGTTATCCTGCCTTGTGTAAAGTGCACCCCAGCATTCTGCAATCATGACCCTCCACACCGCTGCTTCCAGAACTGCTTCTGCAGGCTTTGGCGGGGCAATGGCGATAGAGTATGTTGCAGGTTTGTAGAAGGATTGCTGTCTTGTAGAAGGGTGATGGGGGTTAGCCAGCCCCAGGAAAATGAATTGGGAGTATACCTGCCTGGAATGACTCAGCAGGAAAAAGCCAGCTAGTCAGCAAGGTCCTTTTCTGTAAGCAATCACAAGACGTCAAGGTGCATGCACGGGGCATGAGCAAAAAGGAGTTAATGGCAAACTCCCTGCCTGAAGGTTCACCCCAATCCTATCACCCTGCACATGGGGACCAGCTTCCCCTTATTCTCTGGACCGGCCGACTACTATCCCTTCCCCTGAACTGGGACAAAGGGAGCAGTACCTGCGCTGACATTCAGCCTTTATTCGCTAGGAACGGTGTAATAATACCAATGCCTGCTTTTTAAGGTACTGCTTTTCATCAGTGGATCACTAAGTGCTTTACAAAGGAGGGCAGCAGTATTATCCCCATTTTACAGGTGCGTAAACTGAGGTACAGAGAAGTGAAGCGACTTGCCCAGCATCACCCAGGAGACCAGAGCAAGGAACAGAATCCAGTGCTTCTGAGTCCCAATTGAGTGCACTGTCCACTAGGCCACACTGTCCCCCTGCTCCCTCTCCTACTCCACTTGGTTCTCTGGGTACATTCCAAAGACAAGGCATTTGCTTCTTATTGAAGCCCTGGTGGCACGAGTCAGCCTCTAGCAGAAGCAAGAGAACATAAGAACGGCCATACTCGGTCAGACCAATGGTCCATATAGCCCAGTATCCTGTCTTCTGGCAGTGGCCAGTGCCAGGTGCCCCAGAGGGAATGAACAGAACAGCTAATCATCGAGTTAGCCATCCCCTGCCATCAGCTCAAATGGCAGGTCCCCGTCAGTTCAAACGTCAGATCCCCGTCAGTTCAAACACTGCTTCTGCCAGTTATTATGACCAAGAGCAACCCTGGGGTTCAAAATATCCTGGACAGATAAAGAGGAGGTCAGTACTGTAAGAAAGCTAGGGAATAAAACAAACCTTAGTTAAGCAACTGCTTATCTGATTCCTCGTACCACCATTCTCAGGGGTCTTTGAATTTCAATTACTTAACTAAAGAAAAGACCCAAGAGTTGAATTTAGTTTTATAGAGTTTTGTAAAATATCCCTAACAACAGTAACACATAGTATAGGATATAAGAAGGCAAAAATGGATCACTCGATGATTAACTGTGAAGCACCTGGCATTGGCCACTGTTGGAAGACAGGACATTGGGCTAGGTGGAGCTTTGGTCTGACCCAGTCTGGCCGTTCTTATGTATTGGACTATGACTTGGCTAACATCAACTAGAAAACTGGTCAAGATAACCATTTAGGTTTTCGGAATCAAATTACACAACCACAGTAGAACATATGCCATATACTCAGTCACGTTGGAGGGAGGGTGACTTTGCTTACATTTTTGACTGAGTCCCTTAGAATGACCTCACTTGTGCCAGTGGGGTCAGCTCTGGGGTTGCTAACACACTATTTGAAAAAGAGTCCAATGCTAGGTCACTGACAGCCTGGTCAGTTCCTGCCAGTTTACCAAGGTCTCCTTCCCAGTGGATCTATAGTATTCAACCCTTGTGACCTGTTTCCCCATGAATTATATTAGCCTCAGCATCTAACACTCCTAACTATCTAAACTAAACTCTTACATTTATTACAGACTTAGTGCAGTTCAAAAAGCATGCACAGCTGGTCTCATTTTATGTCTCTATGCCCCTAGAACGTGAAGGGCAAGGTGAGACCATGAACCACGTGTACAGAGTACTACATTCTTAGTTAACAACAACAACTGGTTCCGTTTTACAACAATCTTGATTGGAACCTGTTATAAAACAAAGACACAGTAATTCTCTGACAACCTTTAAAATGCATAAACAAGCATATATGTGTCCTTACTAATAAGGTACTCAATTTCAGAAAACAGTCAATTGACTGATTTGGGTCATCACCCAAGAGAGAGTGTCTGTGCTGCTTATCACCAATCTTTGCTCAGCCATCAATTTTAGCTCTGTTATTGTTCACAGCAGGAGTTGACGCTGCAAAGAAGGGTGGAGCGAAGGACAGACAGGACTATAATCTTTTCCCAGTGCGTTAGTGGGCAACCTGAATTGCTGGAAAATAGAACGAGACAGTTAAAGGTGCCTATCTAAGTACTTGATGTCACCAGGATGCCCAGGTGGCTAGCCCAGGACCTCAGTCGTCTCTCTTCCAGGTGTCTTTGTCTTTCAGGAAGTGATGTGCTGAAGGAGATAGGCCGTTTTATCCTGTTTCTGCTGGGTGGTCCAACTTGGTTCTTCTTCTTGGAGGTGCAGGCATGGACCAATCAGATGGTGACCCATACAGCTTCTGAAGATTCAAAATGTCCAACCAAAATGAGAGCCGTCCTCTCTCACCAATCCAATCTGGGAAGGAGACATCAGCTTTTGAGATCTTGCAACTGGGAGTGGAATTTTCCAGTCTGTTTGTGCAACATATTTTATGACACCACCTCGTGTAAGGCAAGGTCGTCCGGAACTGTTGATACAACCATCTTGGAACATACCTGGAACTCCGGCAGCTTTGCTCCGGCCAGCCACTTACCTCCACAAGTCACTTTTTGTGGGCCCCTTTGTGGTACATCCTTTGCCCAAGTTTGCAGTAATGTTTGCTCACGTTGCAGCGTTTCCATCAGCACCCTGCTAACTGCCGAAAGGGCCAGTTTAAAGTTCATATAATTTATACAAATTCTCTCTACATTCTTTGATGCTCTTTAAACATGTTTTAGCCATCCTGCAAAGTCACTTCAAGAACTGGCGTTCTCCATCTGGCTGGAACAAGTGTATAAATCTTCCATTTCCGTTCTCCTTGTTCTAACAATGGTGGGACCTTGGTATGCTTGGCTGAGCTGTGTCTGTGCATTATTAACCAAACATTATATTTCTGATTATTCCACTCTGTGGTCAAGTGTCCTTATACACACACTGTTTGGTTTCAATTCATTTTATTTATCACCTCTCTCAACACAGTGTGTTTCACTAACTTGACAGCATACGCCTGCTTCACTTTATCATTTAAACTAAAAGTGACCCCTATGAATGCAGCCCCTTTCTTTCCTAACCGGATTGCCCCCGAGGTAAAACCAGTCATTAAAGTTTACAATATTTGGCCCAAAGCTGTATCACTTAGAGTTGACTTCCCTTTCCT